TTGGTCTGTCTTTATAAACTATTATAAGTACTATTTTTGTTATAATTCAAAATAGATATTTAGTATAAAGTTTTGCTGTTAAATATTTGTTATTTAGTAAAATATGATTTTTTTTTTTCCTCTTTATTGTAAACATTGTCCGGGGGAGGGGAGGGAAAAAAATATTAATATGTTTTATCGCATTTGTTTTTAATATTAAGGGGGGGAGGAAAAAAAAAGAAAAAAGCACTTGTGGGGTTTTTTCGTTATGAAATCGGTGCCGTGTGAACATGTGTTTCAGTCATGTGGTTTTTAATATGTATATAATATTATGTGTTGCATATTAAAATGAATGTTGTGTATTTTGTGATCTTAAAGTAAATAAATAAATAAAAAACCCACCAAAATAAGTAATCCGTGTGGCTATTTATTATAGACTCCCATAACAGAAACAGTTGGATCTTTAAAGTGTTGGGTTTTTTTTTTGTTTCACATCCATCTGCATCTTCCTTTGGAAGGGCTCGTGGCCTCCTGATTTGGGGGCTGGGGGGGAACAGACCCATGCTGGGAATTGGGAAGGTGGGATTTTGGCATCCCTTGGTCTCCCTGAGCGAGGTGGATCCTCGCTGGCTGATGTTGGACCCAAATCCAGGAAATCCCACTTAAAAATAAGAACAAACTTGTTTCGTGGGGAGGATGGTCCAAGCAAGACCACAGGAGCGCAGGGCATGCTGAGCTGGAAGCGTATCCCACCAGGATCATCACATCCAGCTCCTGGCCCTGCACAGGAGCATCCCCAAGATGTCCAGGGATGTGGATCTCCATCCTTGGGGATGCTCAGAGCCTGCCTGGACGTGGCCCTGAGCAACCTGCCCGAGGTGTCCCAGCTCCGAGGTCCATTCCTGGGGTTTGGGGGGCTCCAGGATCGCCACTTTCTGCCCTCCCATCATCCCCCATTTGGGCTTCTCCAGCCAACCAGCCCCTCAGCAAAGCTGTGTCCCGGAGTTTTCTGCGAGCAGGGACCGCTCTGAGCTTTCCAACCCAACAAAATTTCGGGGAATTATGGCCCTGGGAGGTGGGAGGAAGAGCTTTGTGTGAGTTGTGACACGACAAGTTACCGGTGGGAGCTTCAGCTGCGGCTGCT